ATAAATAATAATATTACTCTGAAAAGTGCATCGACAAACGAAGTGTGGTAACACAAACGTTATGATGATGCTATGTGTCATGAATACTTTGAAATGAGGATAGGAGTAAGACAAAGCTGCATATCTTAAAGTTCTACATTTATGAACCATCAGACAAAAGATGTTTTTATGCATTGGTTAGCAGGAATTTGATTGGTTGGAGGTTTGATCATGAGCAAGCATCAGTTAGAGGACCGCTGAATATTTCATTTGAGTCTGAGACTCTTCAGTGGCGCACCCATCAGGGTTTGAAGCCAGGTCTCTCCGGTTGCAAGGCGAACTTGTAGACAATTCAACCATTTTAACTCTATCCAAATTCTGTCAGTTCACGATACACACATAGTGCGACGACCAGCCAATATCATCAGCAAGTAACTATTCTCCAGGCTAACTTGTTAAATTCCAAATTAGTTTGTTTATTAGATATATCACACAGTGAAACAGTGTTATTCACTGATACGTTTCGAACAAATTATTGTTCATAATCACATCAATTGTATCGCACGACTTTGACACTTGAGTTTATAGTTTCTTTGTTCTCTCCTATTTGTCGTCATAGGGTAGTAGAATTTTCCAGATATCGGGACAGGTGATGAAGGAAGATGGGAAGTTAAACACTAGTGTTTACAGGAAACCCACACACTCAAACAGATATTTGGACTTCCGATCGTCCCATCCTATGTCAGTAAAAATAGGATTGTGAAATGTTTAAATGACAGAGCACAAAAACTAAGTAGTACTAAAGAAAATCTAAAACAGGAACTGATACACATAAAAGAAGCTTTGAAACTTAATAATTATCCGGATAAATTAGTCAGGAAATATGTAAGGGAATGTAAAAATAAAATAAATAATTATAGTGGTGATAATAATAATATTAATGACGACATGCATGTCAAATATGCGCAAGACAACACCAACATTAAGGAATCTAAATCATCAGTAGTAATTCCACACAAGGAAGGAACCTCGGAAACCTTACGCAGAATTCTTAAAAAGGCAGGAATAAAAGTGGCATTCAAACCCACAAACAAAATTAGAAACAAATTTTGTCATTTAAAGGATCTTGTGTAACCAATTAAACAAAACAATTTAGTTTATCTAATACCCTGTTGGAATAATTGTCAGGTCAAATACATAGGTCAAACTAGTAGAACAGGGGCAGTCAGACTAGCTGAACATAAAAACTTAGCAAAATCTAGATTGGTTGACCCAAATAAGATAAGAAATCTAGAGAATAGTTCAGCTATAGCACTACATGCAGTCACACACAACCATACAATAGGATGGAATAGGATGACAGTTTTAAAATCTAATGTCACAGGGTATAGGGAGAGATTGATAACAGAAGCTTTGTTTATCTAATCAACTGAAAATACATGTAATAGGAGTGATTCATCACCTGTCCTTGATACCTGGAAAATTCTACTACCCCTACGACAAATAGGAGAGAACAAAGAAAACTATAAAACTCAAGTGTCAAAGTCGTGTGATTACAATTGATATGATTATGAACAATAAATGTTGTTCGAAACCTTGTCATCCAATAAGTAATATTGTTTCACTGTGTGATACATCTAATAAACAAACTAATATGGAATTACTTACTACCACAGTGCCCAAGTTTTACACATATATTAACTTGTTGAAACCCTCTGGTCACGACTTGTCACTAGAAATCCAGGTAACCTCGGGAAGTTCAAATTCATGAGTTGTTGAATGAGGTCAGAGTGGCTGATTAGTTTACCAGCTAGCTATATAACCCGTGGATGCCGGATTCGAACCCCTTTGGGTACGTGCCACTGAAGAGTCACCATCTAGAATGAATTTATAAGTCCAATTCTCCTTGACTTTTCAATAAACCTGTAATGAACGATGAACCCTGAATATCAACCATCAGTATTAACCATTATTAACAACCAATCCATGCTATTTCATATAATACCTAACTAATATTAGTACTTAAAAAAGGTGCTTTTGATGTTCACAGAATAGCAAAACATAATTCTTGGAAGACCCTATTAAAAAATTAGGTTTGATTCATCTATACTACTGAAATAATCATTTCTCAATCATTTTAATCACAATGCAATATAATTATTGATTTCTTTTTTCGTTATTTATCGATTGGTTATTATTTCAAAAATTATGCAAAACAGCTACAGAAAAATACGCGCACACACGCACACACACACCACACAAGGACTTTACATCTTAATAAATTAATTTAAAAGTCCTTTGATATTTAAAATTTAAAATAATAAGAATAATGTGAGTAAATTTGAATAGATATCACTAAAAATTAAGTACTTTATTGATTGATTGAGTAATTGACTGAAGAGAAGAAAAGAGCAAAGGTTTTTATTGATTTATTACTTACTACTTTCAGTTTGAATTTGATAAATATTTTGCATTTATGATGGATGTGAACTAAGGTTAAATAATAATAACAATAATAAAAATAATAATAATAGCAATAACCAATAACTTGAAAATCAATGAGATGCTCACTAGCGACTGGCCCTTTCAGGTAGGTAGTTGCTTGGGGTTCTAGTGGGACGTCGTGACCAGTAGGGTGCAGCAAGTCGGGTGTGAGGACAAATACTCGCCGAAGACATTGGCTAGCTCTCTCACTATGTCGTGAATCGGCAGAAGTTAGAATTCATGGTCTGGCTACTGGGTCGGGTCCCAGTGGCTGACTAATGGTCTATGAGCTCGCTAGCCTTGTAACCAGATGGTCCTGGGTTCGAACCCTGTAGGTGGGTGCGTATTAATGAAGACTCCTAAACTAAGCTGACGAAAACAGCTGTCCAGTACTTCCAGTTGGTTTTCCAATGGTTCTGTAACCGATGTCAGCTAATGATGAAGTCCATGCATTTATTCCCCTTGATTAATTTAAATAAAGTAAGAACAACAGTGACTTGTGCAGAATAATATAGTACCATCGTCGTTAATTTCGTTGGCTTCTCATCAGCTGCTTATAGCCTAAGTAAATTATGAGGTTTATGCAAATTTTACATGATGTCAGTTGACAGTAGGTTCCACAATTAGTGAACAGTGCTCAGAAAATTGCGCTTATATAGTTTTTGCACGGGCAGTTCAAGTTTAAACGAAATAAATGTATGCATACAATGGTAAAGGAGTTACGTAATAGAGACGATGGATGCGTAAGATGCTGAGTGACCAGTAAATTAGATAACAATATACCGAGTTCAACTCAAATCATAGAAACAAGAGACAAGCAAAATTACAGATTATAAAAGGGGGTGAGGTTAAAGACAAAGATTACGTAATCAAGTGAGAGAATAAAGATATCCAGTTACCAGGATAGGCAAGGAAAGACTAATAACTGCTTCTTTCTGAACACATAATAATTTTCGGAATGGGATGAGTGATTGATTTCGAAGTGAGGGCCAACCTTAAGAATACTGACCAAGCAGCGTAAACGCCTAAATGACCTTCAACACATACCATTCGTTGGTGTTACAGAATCTGCCCGTTATTACAGTCCTAGCATGAACACTGTACACGAATGGATGTGCAAATTCCATTTCCTTCTTAAGTATTACTTGGACAATGGGTTGATACCACGTTAGGGTTGTGTTTATGATTAGTATTAGAGTTAGGGTCAGAAATAGGATTAAGGCTGAGATGTTTTATTATAATTATTATCTGTGCTTCTCTTCTAAATAAATCTATGTAATTAGAATATTCTCTTGTTCATATATAGATGTGAAATCGTTTTCTGAATACTAAGAAACCTGAAAACTGATACCCATCATTATAATTACGGAGTATTTTTTAGTTTTTCAAGTATTGGTTTTTGTAGGAATTTGTTTGATTGGCTGGAGAATTTCATTATGTGCTGACATCGGTTAGAGAACCATTGGAAAACCTGCAGGGAGTACTGTTAGACAGCTGTTTCATCAGTCTGGTTTACGACTCTGCTTCAGCAACGCGCACCCACCGACAGGGTTCGAACCCAGGACCTCTCTGGTTACAAGGCTACTTAGTTCGTAGACCATTAGGCCACTGGGACCCAATCATTGGCCACTCCAAAATTTCTAAATTCTGCCATTTCATGCACAACATGGCGCAACCACTTCACAATGTCTTATTCGATGAGTTACTGCCTCATCTTCAACCTGCTGTACCCTACTGGTCACGACTTCTTACCAGAACCCCACGTAACTACCTACCTGAATAGGGCCAGTTGCTAGTGAGCATCTCATTGATTTTCAAGTATTGGTTTTGTAGGGATTTAGTTTGGTCGCTTGGGGGAATTCATCAAGAGCTGACATCATATAAAGTTAGTTACATGTCATGGTGAAACACCTGTCCAGTACTTCCATGTTTTTCAGTGATTTTCTAAGCTGTGTTGGTTCATGATGAAATCTTTGCTGAATTTTCTGCAAAAATCAATTAGTGACTTTGTCAATTATTGTCTCTATTTCCCATGAAGCCAGTTATTTTGGTTGCTGCTCTCTGGGAGCCCAACTTTTCGTGGTTGAGAATAGCCCCAATATGGCTAACCAAATAAAAGTGTGGTAAAAACCATAGATAGTTCTATATTGACTAGAGAATCTCGTCCAAGAAGGCCAAAATGCTAGTTTTGAAAAGTCTTTCTCTATCATCCATTTTGTATCAAATAAATTACCAAAAACCTCTTATTATCAAACACTCCAAACAACGAATCGAAGCTCTGTATGTCAGAGAATCAGATCCAGTCACTATTGCTAAATTGGCCTGCTGTAGGGCTTATAAATTCATAAATTCTCCGTTGTTTCTCATTTTTCATCAGAGATGTTCTTGAACTGTAATCAATCGATATTATTGATTTAGTGTTATTTAGGAAACAACATTACTGCTGGTAATAACAATTATTCTTAAATTACTACGACATCTTTATTGAATAATTCTCTTTGTGTTTTTCTTCCACACATTATTTTTCTAAATACTAGTCTATCAACGATTCACCAGAATTTAAACGTCATTCAGATAACAACAATTATCAAAGAGATCAGAACGAATTAGAAGCTGTCAATTCTCTTGGCAATATAGCTCCACCAGCGATACCGACAAAAATGTCCGCCGATCCAAGCAATCCAATCTATGTGAATCATTCACTCCAATCATCGGTTATCGATAAAAAGGCTAATGATGTAGGTGTTTACGAAAATTGATTTGTTTTTTTTGTTTTAATTTATTATCGTTTTGCGGTTTTTTTGAAAGAGGTGAATGGGAGTAAAACATACTTGTTTAAACAAGGAATAATTATTAACGTCAGATTCAACCGTGATAGTCAGTCACCCGACAACGTTCTATTGGACGAAAATACATGTTGTATAATTAGCTTAAAAAGCCTCAGAAATCTGAGTCATAAATAGATAAATAAACAAATCTGATTGGTTGTCTGACATCTCAAACCCTTAGGATTTTAAGCCATAAATACACGAATCAGATGAACCGTCCAATCAGATTATCGTGTTTAGTGAATGCACAAATCATGACTTCGCAGCTATAACCGTGAAAAGCTTGTCCACCCGTCCTAACATCAACCAATCATTTCATTTCAACCTTGAGATGACACTGGATTTAAACAGATTAAAAAATCAATAAAGAATGGATCAATAAGACAGTGGGATATTGATGATACTTGCATGTCTTAAAAAATGATAATAAATGGAATTCATTTTTGAAGTATGATAAATAGTTAATAGAGAGTAGTTATGGCGAAACAAATTTACCGTTCTTTTGTTTTAATATATATACTTGGATAAATCGATACAGCTGGAAGCGGTCAATTTGAATTTGAATTTACTCAGGTAGAATTGATCTTATGTGATGACGAACAATAATAATAGCTTTACTCGGGACATTTTATGAAGAAATTTGTCCTCGAAAAATGTATTACGTAATGTAAGGTGTAACCTAGAAGGGATGACTAATCGGAAAGTCAAAAAAGGGGGCAGAAGTAATAGAGGGATAAAAAAATGGATGATGGGAATAATAATGATAATAAAATAATAGTAGTAATAACAATAATAATAGTAAACTTACATAAGAAAAAGACAAAGCAATAAGAAGGCGTAATTTTTATTGAATTGTGTAATGTATTTGCGCAACACATTTCGAACAATCTCTGCAAGTAAGAGCTGGCTTCACAGCATATTCCTAAATGGCTCCAGAAGCAAATAGAATCTTCAGAACCCATTAATGGTGAGAACAGGAGACCTAGCTCCTCTATTGCGAAACGTATAACATAGGAGACAGGACATAAAATTGATGTTTACAAACGTCTTTTAAACCTATCTATAGAACGTGTTTGGTGGAGGGCGTATTATAAAGTTTGTGGAAGCCCACAACTGGTCATCACACTAAACCACCTTCCTTGGTCAACTTTGTTTTTACACCATAGCAGATGTACTATTACCTCTGTTATTTGGTGTAGTGATCTTCATTGTCATTTTGACCTTCAATATGTCCTTTTAACTTGACCTAAGTAGTCTATTTTCTCACCTCTTACCTCTTTATTAATTTCATATATATTCCTATGACAAGTCCGTGTGTGTGATCAGATTGTTCGAAATAAGTGTTGCGCAAATACAACAGTACACGATTCAGACAAATTACGTCTTCTTATTTTTTTTGTCTAAATTCATAAAGGGAACACTGATTGTTTTAAATAATAAAAAGCAGCAAAATTATAGTAAGAACTTTACTCTGGTCACGGTCGGTTGAGTGAATGTATGTAGCTCTCTTGAATGCAGAGGTCCGGTTTCAGATTCCGAATAGCTTATGTTTCAGCCATGTACAGATGGCGTATGCAAAGTCCCTTTGTACGATATTGAGGGACTCTGTGTAGCACTGTGAAGCATTCATGTGGGATAAGGGTGCTCGATGTTTAGAGTTGACAAGGTGTTCGAGGATGGAGCTGCTGCTATTCTTCTTTTCTCCTCTAGCTAGCTAGCTAGCCAAGCTGGACAGTGTTCCAGAATACGTTTGTGGACTTGACGTTGAGTACGGTCGATATACTTTACTCCACATGAGCAAGTGAATTGATTAATACACATATGCATGCACCACCTGAAGCATCAGATATTCGGGATCTGAAACCGGACCTCTGAATTCAGAAGCACTGAGAATATTTACTCGCCCTACCGTGGCCAGAATGAAGTTCTTACTATAACTGTGCTTCTTTTTTATTATGTAAGTTAACTATTATTATTATTACTACTATTATTGTTATTACTACTATTATTATTTTATTATCATTATTATTCCCATCATCCATATTTTGTTACCAATATATTACTGTTTATTAATAACATTGCGCTTTCACACTGACTTTACATAAAAACACTTTATCGCCTTTCCACTGGTTCCTGTCCATTCTACACGAGCTTACTATATATAATATATATATATTATATATATATATATATATATATCCTTCACGTTCCCAGTGAAACATAGGGCTTCAAGCTAGAGGTGATTATTGTTACAGGATGGGGTTGCTAGCCCGCCTCATGCGCAACCTTTCCTCTTTACCAGATTTATTACTGGCTTAGCGAGGTAAATAAGTGCACCAGCCGGTGATTGAACCCCGGACCATGTGTAAGGTCGGCGAGCCTCCTAACCACTGTGCCACTGACACGAGGTTACTGACCAGTTATTATCTCACACTTATTACGACATGCCAACTTCTGCTTCTTTTCTAACTTCCAATTAGTCGCTCTATCTAGGTTACACCTTACATTATGTAATACATTTTTCTAAGACAAAGTCTGCCAGTATCTGATTGGTCTAATGATGTGTTTGTTAAATATAATTAATACGATTTTACAGCAGGTTATGAAAATGAATCATCGAAAAGGAAAAAGTGGCTTCAGAGCGAATTCATTTTCATAGCTGTACAATCGCAAATATATACATGGTTGTTTCTAAAATCAAGAGACGCCATTCGTGCCAAAAAAGATACTTTATATGAACCACTACTTCAGAGGTGATCTACTCAGTGATGTCCTTATGAGGAGAATTTCCACTTCTTTAAGAAGAATCTGCTTTTCGGCAGCATTGAGAGCAGTGTTTGCCAGTCTCCCTCCAATCTATTGAAGTCCGAAGGACAAGATCTCACACCTGACCACTTCCATGAGTATATATCAGTTCACCTGTTGCTGTGGATCCAGCCAGGTACATTGGTCTTTCAACGCGCATCCTGTCAAAAAGGGTGAAAGAACACTATCCAGTGTGGCTGCAGAAAGAAAGTGCAATACTCGAACATCTCGTCACCACTATTCCATCTCAATAAACACCTCCTACTTCAAAGTAATCTACAACGTGAAGAACAACCTACCAAAGACACCCTAGCCATTCATTTAGAAGAACCAGAACTATACATACAAAAGAAAATTATTCAACCACTTCTACTATCATCATGGCAACAACTCTGTTGGTTTGACTTAACTTTTACTTGTATGCTTATTTTTTTCTACTTACCTAAAACTCTTGCGTAATTCCGTATGTTATTTTGTTTCCATGTAAACCCTGAGCACAACTCTCTCATCAAATGGCCACCGCTTCTTCAGGTTTCATCGACAAACACAACAAAGGAAACCACGTCTGTGTACTGAGTGAGTGCTATGCTATACATGAATGTGGTGTTGAAAGGCGACACTTTCTGACCGACAGGCACTCTAAGGAAGAGAATATCAAACGCTCTGGAGATAAAAATGGCATGGTTGAATTTTTATATTGAGCTGTACGAGCATCAGTTCTATTGAAATCTCTTTTCTGGTTTTACCCAAAGAGATACAAGGAGTTTTCGGTCTACCTCAAGATAACTTTATCCAATTGGTTGTAAGGATTAAGATGCCTATCCACAGTAACAATGTCAGTTCGGGTGGATTCAAAGTCCCTGTCACCGCACTAACTTCTGCTTACAACATTCAAAGTTCTACGTAATATAAGACGTAGTCTTTTTTGAGAAGAATATGGTGAGAATAAGGTGGGACAATAAAGGAGAAGACACGTGGAATAAATATACTACAAAACAGTGCAAAAGAAGACTGACTGACTGGCTGATTGCCTTCAACATAGAACTCTGCACCAACGTGCAGCAGTTCGAGTCGCCACACTCCATTTAGCACACAAAGCAAGAGAAGAAAGTAAAAAGAAATGCAAAGTAGAGACAGTAAACAGAGATATGAGGCAAAAAGAATAGTAATACGAAAGAACACTATAGTTTTATTGGGCATTACAATTCACAAGAAGTAGATGCATCTGCGTCAGCCAGCCATCGAGAACGATTTTGAGCCATATCACCAATTGTCTCCAGCCTTCATTGGTTTCTACCGTCCCAAAGACCCCAACGAGTCGAGACGTCTACACATTCCTACATGTTTCTCCTTTAAATGTGATATGGCTGACGCCTGTGAAACCCAGCCTCTCCAAGATGAGGATATGTGGCTTTCATTGCTATCCCCGTGGAATTGCTTGGGTCCGATATCATCATCGCGTATAAGTAATTTTAAGGTCCGGGAGGTGACTGACTGGTTTCAACGTAGAACTTTGCATCTATATGAGTCAGTTCTAGTCGCCACGCTTTACTTAGCCCACAAAGCAAGAAAAGAAAGAAAAATGAAATGCAAAACAGAGACAGATATGAGGCAAAAAGAACAGTAATATGGAAGAACAATAGACTTTCACTGGATATTATAAATCACAAGGAGTGGATGCATCTGCGCCGTTGAGAACGAAGATTTTGAGCCATATCACCAATTGCCTCTGGTCATTGGATTTTACCGTCCTGAGGACCCCAACCAGGAAGTCTACACCTTCCTACGTGACTAGCTGGCTTAAACTAACTGTTGTAGATTTCATTGACTGATGAAGCCATGTTTTGGTCTGATCACCATTAGCTAACTCTTTTCCAACCTGATCCATCCTATGTCAGCAGCTGACATTGCCCATTGTCGAGGAAGGCGATCGATGGCTAGGGGGGAGGCATGCGTAGCACATGTCCTATCCAAATAAGTCGATGTAACTTCACAGCCTCGTCTATTGATTTCCCCTCCCTCCTTACCTAGCACTCGAATGATGCCTTTCCTCAATATTGCTCATCCAATTATACCACTTAACACGGGAGATAAAACGCAGGCAC